CACGACGGCAGCTGCGCCTCTGTTTCCTGCACGAGTGCAAGCGCGACCATGGCCGCAGACAGGCGTGATCACAGTCGCACTCGGGCAGGGAAGGTGGGCACAATTGTGGCCATCTTCCCCCGAGCGTGACCGTGATCGCCCCCACCTTCCCTGCCCGAGTGCAATCACGCTCATGCTCGGAACATGGGTGTGATCACAATCGTCACCCGATGAGGAGTTCACAGCCTGAAGCAAAATTTCTCTGAAATTTCTGTTCACGACCCAATTTGCTTGTGAACTGAGGTCTTTGTGAGCCAAGGTACCCCTGTATTTGATGAGCAAAAGGGGCTGCAGGGCCTGAAACTGGCGAGTCTGTGCGGAATGAGCTGGCCATCGCTTGAGGATCTTGAGCCTAAGCCTTCTGTTCTTCTCCTGCGTCTTCCAGGCCTTCCAGCTGGGTCCCACAGAAGCCTCTTACTACTGGGTCTACTGGGTACCTACTCAATATGTCGACGCTATCAAGGACACGGTGCTGGGAAAGTGGCAGTATTTTTGAAGGCACGCTCACCTCTGGCACTGGAGACTGGCATGAACCGAAGGACACTGCTTGGGAGAGGCCTGGACATGGGTTGTCCTGGAACTTCTTAGTGTGATCTCAAAGAGGCCTGGGAGGACGCCAGAGGTGGGATCTTTCGCCATTAGTTTATTTTTAACTTAAAAAGTGCAGCAGCAGCCCTTGTCCTGCAGACAGCTTCAACCATATTTAAAAAGCAAATACAATGGAAATCAATAAATCTTTATTCACACTTTAACTCTGCCAAGCGTAGCTCTTCTGGTCTTTAGTTTCTGCAAGGAAAACATTGATGTGCCATTGTGGATTTTCTACATGATTTCAGCAAGAGGCAGATTTGTTCACAAGCCTTCATCTACAAGCATGATTTGAGCTGTGTCCTTGTGACTGGGTTTCTCTCCTTTTAATAATAAAAAGAAACTTTCAAGCAGTACGCAAACTTGGGGTTTTGTAAGCCATACCTTCCTGGTCCTTCAGATTCCCTGTAACATTTCTGGTAGCAAAATACTGGGACTTCCACTCCTAACCCAGAGATACTTGACTCCTGAAATTCTAGCAGTGGTTCCATAGTGAAATTCCTCATGCCTGCTGCTGAGATGAAGAGGGAGGCCAAACAGGCGGCGGCGGCCGGCTGCTCTGTGCTCTGCCTCTCTTGCACTTCCCCTTTCTGCCGCCATCATCAGGGGAGTCTGGACTGCCTGAAAGTGCTTCTTGGCCACCTCTCCATGCTCTAGGATCACCTTGCAGCCGTGCTGACCTGTGGGTTGACAGCTGGTGTTTCCCATACCGCCAGCAGGCTCTGCATCCAGACCTCCGCACTGCAGGGCCGTCCTGGCACCGGGGGTGGGGGCGGGGATGTGTGGCCACACAGGAAGCACCACCTGGGCTCCTTGACTGGCCTCCGAGGACTGGAGAATTCTCCATGTCCAGACAGGGCCTCATGGGGCCCCTGGGACCAGGCAGTCTGAGAGCGTTTGTGGCCCTGGGTCCCCTGCAAAACTGTTGGGAACTGTAGCAGAGTTGTGGTACTGTTCAATGCACATGAATGTGTTGCACTGTTGGATGATTAGCAGTCTTCTTGAAAACATGAATTGGTGATTAACATGAAATGAGTGATGCAGAGTACTTTTTGCTGATTACATTGGAATTCTGATGCACAGTGGCAGCTGAGGGTGGCCATCGTTTATTAGCGTAGCACAAAGAGAAGAATTGGAGGGAGGCTGTTTTTACTTAAGGCTCTAGGAAGCAACTGTCCTGCCAAAAAAGTGTTTGTTCCATAGGTGTAATGGAATCTGTCGTCTTGAACGCGGAATGGCTGTTCCAGGTTTCCCAGTCCAGGAAGCCTCAGAAAATCAGGGCAGCCTAGAAAGCCCATGTGGCACGTTGCAGGCCTGCTTGGCCATGAAGCTCACAGGGTGACTGGGGCCAGTCATCCGCTTGCAGCCTAATCTACCTCAGAGGGTTGTGGTGGTGAGGGTAGAAAGGAGCTCTGGAAGCCACCGGGGGGCTTCTCACAAGGGGAGAAAGGGCGGCATGTCAGTGCCCTGCCATCCAGTAATAACCACGGCTGTGTTTGGTCCTCTTGCCCACTTGAGCTGGTGTATCATGAGAACAATGCTGTGGAGGTGAATCAAAACAACGCCTTGAAGTAGTATTGACTTCGGGTGCAAGCCAATTTTGTGCATGTAAGTGACCAGGGTGATTTTGGTGACTGATTCATTCCTCTTTATACCTAACCAGTGATTAAAACTTCTGGGAAGTTTGAAGCCAAGGAAGAACAACTGGTTTTCCAGTGGGGAGAAATTAAATATGCAGTACTTTCGTATCAAAACTAAATTTGCGTTACTAACTTAAGAACAATGAAATTTATTCTGTATAATTCAGCACATTTGATTATGCTGCTGTATATTAATGACAAATAAAAGCATAAAAGCCTTAATTTTTTTGAAACGACAGTAAGTAGAAGTCTAGCTAGTGCTAGAGGTAGCACTTTAAGATGTTATCTCCTAGGAACAAGTCTCTCTGAACTCAGAAGGCTTGTTCAACAAGTGTATCTCAATTTTTGCAAGAAGAAATGGGAGGGAAAGAAAATGGAAATGGAAAATGGAGGATTCTTACACTGTACTTAACAAAGGAAAACGTGTCATGGGAGTTTAGAAACTGTATAGAGACCTAATCATGAAATTCATGCATTTAGAGGAATAGTTCAGAAAATGAACATTCCTGTAATGGAACTAAGGAGTGGCAATAAACCTGGATATTCAGTGAGATTGTGTGATTACTTGGCCGGCGTGAGTCCTTCATAGACGACACCTTCAGCCAATATAGGGCAAGAGCAGTAGGAGAACCTGCTTCTACCAAGAGTGTCCGTTTCTGCCTGCCGGTGTGCCTCGGGGGGCAGCTAACAGTAACCTCAGGAAGGAGTTCCAAAATGCTCCTGGGCTAGAGACGCTTCCTCACACTGCCTCCTCTCCCTTCTGCTGGAGGAAGTTGTCAGCAATGCATGCTAGGAAGCACATAGGTAAAGACTGAGGCAAGAACTGGGCACCAGCAATCAGAATTTGCTTTTTAAAAAATTACCTGGCAGCATATCCTTTTCAGGGCCTTTTTGGCAGGTAAGAAATTAATCAAAACATGTATTTCATCTGGAGAAATGGGGTCTATTTAGGGCAGGAGGAGGGTACCAAGAAATCAATATTCTTAGGGAAGCCTGTAATGGTGCCAGAGGGGGAATGGTTAAAAAGCGAGGAATAACAGGGCCATTGCAACCTCTTGTCTCTTTTGCTACCAGGGCCCAGAATCTAGATGGGCTTCCCAGCCATAGAAAAGGACCCAAGTCCATCCATAAATGCCATAAACGCTCATTCTTTTTAAATTGTAATAATGTTAATACTCTTTTAAAGATGTAAGAGTTGAATTTTTCCCAAGTATCCTCACATCTTGGTTTCCTTACTAATCTTGCTGAGTTACCCTTCTGGACTACACACTCTGTATCAACTTCATTTTTAAAGACATGGTTGGTTGTGTGGTTTTAGAGGTAACTTACGACAGGCCTAAGTGCATAAACTTTATTTATTTATTTGGGTAGTTTTATCCTGTCCAATTACGTTACGCATCTCTTATCAAATACTCCCAAGGGATCTGAGGGGGTTAGGAGTTTGTCCCTTAAAGGTAATACCGTGAGGGACATTAAGTTTATTTCTTCCTGGCTCTTCCCATTCCAATCAACTGTTTTGTCACCGAGCAGCCACATTCTCTGATGGCACTATTGAAGAGGGATGAGCGCCATGATAAAAGATAAACGGAGCTGTATTGGCATATGATTGCTCTCTGGCTTAATGAGAAATTTAAAATTCACATAGTAAGGAAAAAACTGGTTGAGAGAAAATCATAAAATCTGTAACAATCTTACCCCTTAGTCCTACATGTGTATATAAGTCTCTATCTGTTCCATTAAATATACGTATAAATGGAACTTTAGAGAGAGTGACCTGCTTTATTAATTCCCAAGTCTTTAGAACTTCTAATGGGCAGAAAACATAGTTCTTCAGGGTTTAAACCCCATCTCTCCCCTGTTTCGTCATTATTTTACCCAATTCTTGTCATTTATGTCCCCAACTATGAAAATGAAAGGGTCAACATGGGACTCAAACGAAAAGGCAAGAAAGTAATCTGGATCTGACCAGATGAAGTTGCCCTCATTCCTTGCATTAGGCAGAGGGCAGCACACGTTGATCAAAAGGATTTTTATACCTGAAGGGTTAAGACCTTGATTAGCGGTTCGTACATCAACCAGTACAATATCTGGGTTGCAATAATTCACAGTTCCTCTATATTCCTCACTAGTCAGACCTCACCTGGAGTCCTGTGTCCAGTTCTGGGCACCAAGATTTAAGAAAGATGCAGGAAAATTAGAAAGGATCCAGAGGAGGGCAACAAAAGTGATCCAGGGTTTGGAAACACTGCCCTGTGAGGAGAGACTGAGAGAACTGGGCACGTTCAGCCTTGAGAAGAGAAGACGGAGGGGGGACATGGTACCTCTATTAGTACCTCAAAGGCTGTCACAAGGAGGAAGGCCAAGGTCTCTTCTTGCTGGTGCCAGAGTGCAGGACACGGAATAATCGATTCAAACTGTGACAACCCAGATTCAGGCTGGACATCAGGAAGAGCTTCCTCAGTGTCGGAACAATACGGTGTCAGCATCCAGGGCATGCGCGGCTGGGTATCAGATCGGGGCACCAGGACCCAGACAACTGGTATGATATACAGGCCAATTCCAAATCAGAGTCGGGCAGACCAGAGACCAAGGCAGGCAACAGAGATGCAAGGTAGGCCAATTGAAAGGGCAAGGAGCAGCCAAAGCCAGTCAGGAGTCGAAAGCCAGAGAGACAAGCCAGGAGAAGCGGGTACCCGGGACTGGAGAGGAAGGCTGGAGCAGGTGAGGCCAGGCATGGTCCGGAAGCAGAGGCAGGAGCAAGGCGAGGGACAGAGCTTCCAGGAGGCACAGCACAGGGAGCTCCAGCAGCATCAAGACCCCTTGGTGCTGAGGCAGCTTCTGAAGGGAGGAGCTGGTTCCGCTCTAGCTCTTCCCTCAGGGCTCCCAGGTGGTGCTTGCAACATCCTGGGCGGCTGCGATTGACCGTGGCCTGGTCCTGCAACCACCAGGGCTGCTATCCTGCTCTCTGGCCTCTCCGGGCTCAGTTGCCTGAAAGTGCCGCAGGCTGGAGCTGTGAGTCCTGCTGGTGCAGCCCCTGTTGCCGCTGACTTCCCAGCCACAGGCCTGTGGCCCTTCAGCACTGGAAGAAGCCTGGCCCTCCCACCCGAGGAGAGGCCAGCTCTGCAAGCCACGCCATGCCCCATCCCCGCACTGCATCACCTGGGAAGGGGCAGAGAGAACAAAATGCAGGGCTCGGAAATGGCTCCCAGGCGGCCAGGAGGAGGCTGCCATGGTGGGGGGCGGAGGCAGGCACAGATGCGGGGAGCTGGGCCACGGGGCAAGTGAGGAATGGGCGTAAGAACCAGCTCTCGGAGGTCTGGAGAGGTGCCTCCAAGAAAGGAATGTGGGCCTTCCTCAGGTCCAAGTACTGCAGCAGCTGCTCAGCTCTTGTGGGGGCCGGGGGGTCGTTCGCATCATGCCCTTTAACGTTGCAAAAGCAGAAAGTTTGATTGTCTGGACATCTTGCAAACGTTGTGTCAGCTCCCGAGCTGCTGGTCTCATGTGCAGCCAGGAGGGGTTTCGAAGGGTGGCAGCCCCACAAAACCCCTTTCCAGGACCAATAAGGGACATGGCTGGAGCAAGCAGATCTGCTGCGAACGTGCGTGTAACTCCTCACCTTTTAGTCCAGCAGTTACCTGGCATGGAACTATAAACACTGCTGGCCGCAAAACTGTGAGCAGTGATGCCATGATGGGGCACGAGCTGGAAGCTTGCTGCTCTCTTTTTCCACAGTGTTGTGTGCCTTGCCACAATCGGGCACATGAAGCCATTAAAATGCTTCCAGTTGGTGCTGCAGTGAAAAGTAGCACGAGCGGCAGAAAGAGCCCCGCTGTTTTTCAGCGCTCTGGGTGTGGTGCTGGCGTCAGCTGCTGGACAAACAGGGCCGAAGGAACATTTGCAGCACTTGCTGAGCGGGGGCTGTCCCAGAAAGGATGAGGGGAGCACCATGGGAGTTGCCGGGAAGGGTGTGTGTGTCAGTGCGACTGATGGAAGGGGCTGCCACCACGGCGCAGGGGGAACCTGTTTTGCGAGTGCTGAAAGCGCGAGACGAAGCAACGGACATTTTGCCAAGGCCATCGCTGCAACTTCTGGGATGGCGCTCCATAGCTTCGCCATGCACTGTGTGAAGGAGCCCTTCCTTCCCTCTCTCCTGAATCTCCCACTAATGAGCGTCATGGATCAAACTTGCTGGGTTCTAGTATGATGGGGAGAGAAACAACTGTCCCCATCCACTTCCTCTGCACAACGCACAATTCGGCACACTTCTGTCCCACCTCCCACTGTTCACCCCTTTTCTACGCTAACCCATCACAGCCACTGTGCCCTTTCCCCGTGGGACAGTTGCTCCAGCCTCTGACCAATTCAGCCGCTCTTTGCTGACTCTGCAGTTCTGGGGGGCTCTGGGGGCTGCCAGCCACTGAACATCCTGCTGGTTGCACACGGGGCAGGCTGGGGTGCAGTTTGCCACTTCTGCCTGTGCTGCTCGGCCTCTGTGCCCAGGGAGCCTCGGCGGGAGACTGACGGAGCTCCCTGACAGTCCCCCTTCCCGTGCAGGCCAGCGTTTCTCCCGGACCCAAACGATGGCAGCTTGTACGTGGTCGGGGGCAAGCACAAGGAGGGCCTGATGGTGAGTGAGTGGTGTGGGGGGGCAGGGCTGACTGCTGTGCCCCTTGCGGAGGACCCGGGACCCCCTGGCTTCCTTCCTCAGCTGGTGCCTCGCCTCCGAGGGCCCAGGGCTTGGTGGGAGGGGAGGGGCTGGGGCACTGCACTGAAAAACCAGCCAGTCCATCCAGGTTTTAGGGCCTCAGTGGGGTGATTCTGCCCTCTGGGTAAATTAGGTGCATTCTGGCAATCTCCGTGTGCTTATGGTGCGTGCCTGAGGCCGCCATGGGGAAGGATTGGCTGCTCTGCAGCACTCTGGGTAGGACAGAGGGACGAAGTGGTGAACCTTCAAGGGAGAGCCAAGCTCACCCCTCCCGCTGGAGCGGACATGGGTGCATGGACGTGGCCCCTCCTCATTGCACGGGGGCCTGTGCAGGAGAGCAATGGAAGTGGAAAGCCGAGCTCGCTGAGGAACAGAGGCATACCTGCTGCTGCGCCCCACATAGGCCTTGGGCATCTGCTAGCACTGATCCCCATGGGCCTGGAAGGGCCGCCTGCAGGTGCTTCCAGCCTTTCCGTGAGCTTCCTTTGGGCTCCACCTCCCGTTCCGTGTCTGTCTCTGCCTGAGGTCATCATGCTGGAACCAGCCCTGCACGCCCTCCACCCTGAACTCTTGCAGCTCTTGAAGAGTCTGTGATGCAGGGTAGCCCAAAGCTCTTTTGAGGTGCCAAGGAAAATGCGCCTCTGTTTCTTCTCAGGTCTTGTAAAGGGAGCTCCTTCTCTAGCCAAGGAAAAAATCAGTGTCAATAAGGAAGTTCCATGTTAATAAAGAAGCGGGAGCTGGCGGCCGCTCAGTTTTCTCCACCCTGCATGACCGGAATGTCTGCTCTGTGGCCCTGCCCCAAACCCTCACAGCAGCTCACAAAGGGATGTGGGGGGCAGGGGGGGGGAACAAGGTGGAGCAGGTGTGAAGCCCAGAGGGCAGGTGCAGCCTCAGAGCATCCCTTGTAACTTCCTTCCTTCCCTCCCTCCCTCCCTTCCAGAAGTTGCCTTTTACCATTCCAGAGCTGGTGCGATCTTCTCCGTGCCGAAGTTCTGATGGCATTATCTACACAGGTACAAAGAGGGAGCTGGCAGGTAGGGTGGGGAGCTGTGGAGCCAGGACAAGGCTTTGGGGTGAGTCAGCAGAGCGAGAGCGCCAGGCCAGGGGCAGGAGGCGAGCGGCAGCCCAGGCAGGGCATGGCTGCGGGTGTGAACGGGACCCGACCACCTTTGTGGCCCCCTCCAGCTCTGTGGCTCGGTGTCCCTGGGGCCTTCCCTGGCCACTTGGTGTCTGTAGCAACTGAGAAAGGCACAGGGGGGGGGGGGGGGAGCACTGAGGCTCGGCTCCCCTTCCCTCCTTCAGCAGCAGGGTGCTGAAGGATCAGGGACTGGAATGGTGGCCCCAGGAAGTGGGGGGGGGGGGCAGCTCAGGAAACACTCCTCTGTTCCCCAGGGAAGAAGGAGGACACGTGGATCGTCGTGGATCCTGCTTCGGGGCAGAAGCAAACCACGCTGTCGACCAAGGCCTGGGAGGGGCTGTGCCCAACCAGGCCGTTGCTCTACATCGGGCGCACCCGTAAGTCTCCGTGCCCTTCCCTCCCTCCTCAGGCTGAGGCCTTGATGGCCTGGATGGGGGCCAGAGAGTCCACAGACGGCTTCTGACGGCAGCTGGCCAGCATCAGCCCAAAAGCGAGGCGGGAAGGCCCGAGCACGCCCTGGTAGACTGTCCCCACACGGGGTGGACCGGCAGGTTGCCTGGGTCCCCATGGGAGAATGCTGCCCATCCCCGTCGCTCTTGGCAGTGGGCGGGCAGAGGAGGAAGGCCTCTGTGGGGCCGGCACTGAAGGATGCTGGATGAAGTCCCCCGAGAGCAGGAGTCAGCGAACCCAGATCCGTCCGCAGCGACATCTGCTCCGAACAGTTGGCTCGGCAGCCGTAGAGGGAGGCAGCCGAAGCACCTGGGACCCTGGGCCCGCTGTCAGAGTGACCCTCAACGGAGCAAAGGTCCCCTGGGAGGGGCCGCCTGCAGCCGCTGCTCAATTCTGGCACGGTCCGAGCTTGCAGCGCGAGGCGGGCTGGCAAGCTCCCCTCTCAGCCCCTGCTCCACAGCCAGGGCAGGGAGATGCTCCTTTAATGGCTAGCCGGCCCCGTTCAGCCTGGAAGGGCCGGCTGGCCACGACTGCAATGAGCAAGCAACAGGAGTCGCACCCCCGGGGGGGGGGGGGCTCTTGGCTGCTGGAGCAGCTGGCGTGACCGGCCTCCCTCCTCCTGCAGAGTACATCATCACCATGTACGACACGCACTCGCGCGCGCTGCGCTGGAACGCCACCTTCCTGGACTACTCGGCCCCGCCGCCCGAGCAGAGCGAGGACCACAGTGAGCACGTGGCGCCCCAGCAGGCGGCTGCCTGGGAAGGGAGCTCGCGTCGGCTGCTGGGCGGGCGGCACGGGAGCCGATGATCCGTCGAGCAGTGCGGGCTTCGCTCGCAGGCATGCCCCGAGGCTGGCGCTGGGGCGGTCCCAGGGGTAGTGTGGATCCAGAGGGGGTGCTGGACTGTGCCCCCAGGTGCTCCCCCAAGAGGGAGGGACCTGTGACACTCAGCCGATGCAGCCTTCCCCAACCTGGGGGCTCTCAGGCGGCTTGGATGGCAACACCCAGAATGCCCGGTCAGTGGCCCAGCTGGATGGTAATTCTGGGAGCTGCTGTCCAAACGCCTCTGAAGGCCACCCAGCTGGGAGAGGCTGCTTTAAAACCTGAGTGTCCTTGGCACCTTGAGGATTAACAGACTGGCTGGGGCATCCCTTTCTGGGGGGCAGGTGCCTTTTCACGGGCTGTGTGGTGCTCCGTTAGCCATTTTGCTGTCGTGATTAAGATGCTGACGTTACCCCAACGACTCCTGCCGCTTTGCTTCTTTTAAACTTCACCAACAATCGCCCCAAACTCTGCTTCTTGCAGTTCGGACCGTGTATGTAGACATTTTAGCATCTCTAGACACTCAAAAGCCCCTCTGCCACCACGCTGTGCCCAGTGCGCTGTGCCAGGCTGAATTCTGGGGAGCCCCCTTTTCCCGTCCTTCCTCAGACCCCACCTGAAGCGCAGGGGCTTGGGCCTGCCTTCCCAGCTCTGTGCAGCGGTGCTCGGTTGGCCTGGCAGCTCCGGCTCAGCACAGTGGCCACGCCGAGCCTTCCCGTCTGGGGCGGGGACGCTCGCCTCGGGAGCGCCGCTCACCGCCCTCGCTCGGCCCCTTGCAGAAATGGCCCACCTGGCCTCCAGCGGCGGTGGGCTGCTGGTGACGGCGGCCATGGAGAGCGGCGACGTGCTCTGGACGCGGGACTTCGGCTCCCCTGTGGTGGGTGTGTACACCTGGCGCCAGGACAGCCTGTGGCGGGCGCCCCACCTCAACATCGCGGAGGAGAGCCTGCGCTACCTCGTCTTGCGCTCCCAGGACCTCCGCCTCCTCAGCCGGAGGCACCGCTCCGCGGAGGAATTTGCCACCAAGACGCGGCTGCTGTGGGTACCGGCCGGGGCCGGGGCCGGGGCCGGGGCCGGGGCCGCGGGGAGGAGGCCAGCCAGAGGAGCCTGGCTCTGGGGCGGGCCAGCAACACGCGAGGCCCCCAGCGCGGCTGCCAGTGCGGAGCTGCGCTTCCAGGCTGCCTGCGCCGTCGCCGGAGCCACTTGCTCACTGCTGCTCTTACAGGGGAGCGACCCCTGCCTCAGAACGTGGGCGGGGGTCCCACAGCCCTGCGTGGCACCTCTGGTGATCCGGGCGTGTGGAATCCGCTCCTGGCAGGGTCCCCGACCGGCCCCTGTCTCCAGGGGGATCTGCCTTGCGCCTTCTGGCTGCGCCACTGGAAGCCCCCCGAGCCCCTGCCCTTGCTCTGCTTTCAGGCTGACGCTGTACGTGGGCAGGTGCGCGGCCGGGTTCTACGCCATGACGTCCCTGGCGCACGAGGGCGTGGCTCTGGTGGTGAGCAGCCTCTTCCTCCTGGGGGTTCCTGGGCGAGGCGCCTCTGTGATGTTGAGCCCCGGTCTCTCCGCAGCCTCAGGGAGTGACTCTGGCGCGGCCCGATGGCCCCACCACGGAGGACGTGACCCTCCAGAAGTCTGGCGAGTGTGAGATCACGCCCATCACAGACGTCAGGTACCCCCAGGGCAGCGTCACCGTTCCCCACAGCCAGTGGCTGCTCAAGGGTGAGTCCAGGCACACAGCCAGGCTTGGGTGACCCGCCCACCCCCTGCCCCAGTGCGGAGGGGCGGGATGGGGGCCGGGAGTCCCGAGGCCCGCCCGGGCGGCTCCCAGCGTTCGGAGCGGAGTCTTCTTCATGCATCCTTCCTGGCATTACGAGAACCAGCCAGTAAATGCACCGAGAAGGGAAGGGGCTGGGCTCGTCATAGTCAGAACAGGTTGGCCTCTTGCCCAAAGGCCAGAGGTTTCGGGGCAGGAACCCCCATGCTGCTCAGGCTGGGCCAACCAGGGGCCCACAGCGGGCTCTTCTGGGGCTCCCTCTGCTCTTTTCTCCCCACAGGACATCATGAGCTGCCCCCCGTAGTCCACACGACCATGCTGAGAGCCGTTGCGGCGACCTGGCAGCGGAGACCGGAGGCTGCCCCACCCCGCGGCGCCCCTTCTGGGACCCTCTTTGACAACGTAGGTGGCCGGGATGCGTCCGGCGCTCTGCTCGGCTGCGGCTCCAGACTGGCCCGGAGCACCGGGGGTCGCCCTGGGGGCAGTGGCAAGCTCACCCTGAGGGAAGGCCCCTGGAGGGCCCTGAGCTTGAGTCTTGCACAGCAGGCAGTCCAGCTGTGGGATGGGCAGCGGGGGGCTTGGGGTGGGTGTCCACACGGTCTCTCCTGCAGGGCTTCCCGTGGCAAGAGCAAAGGGGGGAGCAGTGCTGGGGGGCATGGAAGGGCTGTGGGAGCGGACGAGGGCTTTTGACCCCGGGCACGGCCCTGCGGAAGAGCCTTCCTGGAAGCACCTGAGGGCAGGAAGCAGAGCAGAACATCCGGGCACACAGGCGCTTCTGCCTGCTGGCTGGACGCGGACGCCCCACACAGCCCAAATGCTCTCCGGGCGCGCCCCCCATTTCAACAACCGCCCAAATGGCGTATGAGGCAGGCAACCTGCTTCGGCAACAACGAGCACGAGCATAAGCAGTGGAGGAAATGTCCCGCAAACCGTCCGGCAAAGCAACATGAAGCACGGGGGGCGGGGGGTTGCAAGTGCCCCGCTCCGGCTCCCAGGCGCCACAGCCCCACGCTGGGGCCAGGAGCAAGGGCCGGCCGGCTCCCCTGGGAGGGGCACTGCAGGCAGCTCCCGCCACCATTGCCAGCGTACCCTCTGGCTTGTGTGTTTCAGTTCCTGGCCCCACACAGCCTGGAGCAGCCCCCTGGGGGTGACCAGCACAGCGCAGACCCCCGGCCCAAGACGGCGCAGGCGGCTGCTTACGTGGAGCTCAGTCCCTGGCGGCTGGGGGCGGCTGGAGTCACTGCTGCGCTCGCGGGCGGGGTGCTGCTCTGCCTCGCGCTCTGGGTAAGTGGCTGGAACCAGGCCCCACGGGCGCCGTTCCGGGGAGCGGGTCCTGTGCCCATCCAGGGCTTGGCGAAAGCTGCCAGGCCTGCTCTCAGCTCGTGGGGACTTGCCAGCCTCTCCGCAGCGCAGAGGCCCCGCTTTGCGAGGGTCCTCCGAGGGCGAATGCCTGCCCTGGGCACGTGTGGGCTGAGCCGGGCAGCGGGGTGCAGGCGGGCGTGCTGCTGGGGGGGGCCGGCCCAGGCAGGACTTCCCCAGCAGAGGCTGCCCTCCCTGCTTCCCCTGCAGATGCAGCGGCTGGGCCAGAAGCAGCAGCAGTGCCTGGAGCAGCATCTGGAGGAGAGGCTGCGGCTGCTGCAGCACCTGGGAGCAGGCTGCCCCGGGGCAGGCGTCCCCAGCCAGTCTCCTGGAGCTGCCACTGGGAGCTCCCTGGGGCCAGGCCAGGGCCAGGGCTCCTCCTCCTCCTCCTCCGCTGGATCGGCCGTCGGGGGTCCCGGCTGGAGCCCAGTCACAGAAGGCGTCAGCCCAGGTAGGTCCGGCTGGCCGGCCGGCGCCACACAGGCGCCTCTGGGGACGGAGCACGAGGGCCACACCTGGGGCGCAGAGCCCGGTGTGGCGCCTCCCCCACGCTGAGCTGGGATTCTCCCCCCCGCAGCAGGCGCAGGCCCAGGTACCGTCGCCGTGGGGAAGATCTCCTTCAGCCCCAAGGATGTGCTGGGCCGCGGGGCCGCGGGCACTGTGGTCTTTCGGTGAGGAGAGGCTGCCGGGTCCAAGCGGAGCAAGCTTAGCCCGGGGGCGGCGTGCAGCGGACCCTCCCCTCCAGCAAAGGGCTGGCAGCTTTGCTGAGAGCAGGCCTAGCCCCGGGGGCGGGAGGCTCCAGCGCCTTCCCAAGGCCCTTCGGAAGCCGAGCCCCCCCCACACACACACACACAAGACCTTGGGAAGGCGGCGTCAGTGCCAGGCACCCGCCTCAGGCCGCTGCTTCCGGTCTTGCGGTGGGTGCATCGGCCGACGTTCCGCCATGCTTGGCAGGGGTCTGAGTTCCCGCTGGCCACCCGGAGGGGTGTGGAAGCCCCCAGCTGGCCTTCAGTGGATGCGGGGTGCCAAGGGAGCCTGGCAGGGGGACTGGCACCAAGAGGGGCATCTCCCCGCCCCTCCTGCTGCGGCTGAGCATGGGCAACCCGCTACCTCCCCCAGGGGGCACTTTGAGGGGCGCCGCGTGGCTGTGAAGCGCCTGCTCCTGGAGTGCGTCCACCTGGTGGAGCGGGAGGTGCAGCTGCTGCGCACGTCGGATGAGCACCCCAATGTCGTGCGCTACTTCTGCACGGAGCGGGACCCGCAGTTCCACTACATCGCCCTCGAGCTCTGCGCCACCACGCTGCGGGAGGTGAGCCGCTGCTGCGGGACGCTGAGGGGGCGCCAGGCTGCCCCTTCCCGGCTGCTGGCGCTGGAGGGCACCTGTGCCCCAGCCACTGCTTGCCCGAGGCCCCGGCCCTGGGAGCAGGCGGGAGGCTGCGGGCAGCACACGTGACGCGGGATGAGCTCTGGCGCCCGTCCGGCCTTTGCGGTCCAGCCTCAGGACGGGGCTCTTACTGTACGTGGAAAACTATTCCTGTACTGTAGGACTGAAATTGGGGGGGTGTCATGAGCGCAGCCCTGCCCCTTCGTGCCCCCAGCCTCCAAAATAGTAGGCGAGCTCTTTTCAATGCAGATCTTCATTGGGACTTCACCGCTACGTGACTAAGTAACTCTAAAAAGCTTCTTTTAAGCTGAAAGATAAGCGTCTGCGCATGTCCAGAGTGTTGAACCCAAACTGCAGACTTCTCCCAGGAACCTTCCCTTCCTGGAATGCTGCGGGCTCCACCCCCATTGCAAGGGCTGGGAAGCAGGCGGGGGCTGCGAGGGGCCGAGGGCTGGGACCAGGGCGCTTGTTACTTAGTGGGCTGGAGGTGGGTGGCAAGCTCGGGCTCAGGCAATCCGGTATTGCCCGTCTGGGGGAGAGAGAGAGAGCACAGCCCAGTGGTCTGAGGCCAGGAGGACCGTCACGTAAGGGTGGTCCCGCCAAGAGTGGGCTGGAGCAGGCCAGAACACCTGGGCGCAGGGCGAGGGCAGGTGGGACCAGAGGAGCAAGGCAGGCGCACGCCGGAGCAGGCGCCACGGGCTGGTGGTGGCGAGACCAGAGCACAGGCCACTCCTCGCTTGGTGGGGCAAGGAGCAGCGGTGCTTGGATGCCTTTCCTGCTGGCCTCTCGGGCTCGCAGCCGCACTGCGTAATGGCTGCTCCGGTGTTCCCTGCCCGTGCCTGCAAAGGTGTTGCTGGTTCTGAGGGCACTGGCAGGGTCACTCAGGCCCTGATCCTGGCAGCCGGGGCGTTTCCCACTGGCGCGGGGCCACCCGGCAAGACCTGCGCACACTCTCTAACCAGCTTGGTCAGGGAGAGGCAAGGCAGCGGCTCCCTCTTCTCGCCTTCTTGGGCCCTCCCATCTCCGGGAACCTGGGGCAGCCGCGCTGAGCACCCTTCCCAGCTTCTCCTCTGCCTGGGCTTCCCGCAGCGCCACTGCCAACTTTGCGGGGTCCTCTTCTTCCGAAACTATGGCACAGTGACTCTGGGATGCCCGCCAAGAGCAGTGGTCTGGTTCACCTGCCCCTGTGGATTAATCACTTGGAACGTGGCTTCTGTTTAAATAGTCCCCCCCCCCCCCCCCGCGACATGACTGGGTTCAACAGGTTTGGTTTTAGTGAATCCATGTACTTCTCTTGAGTTCGGCAGCTGCTTTAGGGCTGTTAAGCAACCAATTACCATTACGCACGGTCCCCGCGGGGCCCCGAGAGCAGTGCTGGGCGCACCCCGCCCCCGCTTCCCAAGCAATCCGTCCGCCGTTTCTCCTTCCCCTCCAGTATGTGGAGAGCACCGCTGCGGGCCAATGGAGCCTGGACCCCGTCTCGCTGCTGCATCAGGCTGTGTCTGGGCTGGCGCACTTGCACGCCCTCGGGATAGGTGAGAGATCGCGGGGCGCACGTGCCCAGGACGCGGGCGCTGGCCAGAGGTGCCGGGGGAGGCGTGCCTCGCCGTGCCGCTGATCTCGGGCTCTATGTCTCTGCCCCCTCCATGCAGTGCACCGTGACCTGAAGCCCTCCAACATCCTCATCTCAGCCCCCAATGGCCACGGGCAGGTCCGCACCGTCCTGTCGGACTTCGGCCTGTGCAAGAGGCTGCACCAGGGGCGCCAGAGCTTCAGCCTCCGCTCAGGCATTCCAGGCACGGAGGGGTGGATCGCGCCAGAAGTGCTGCAGGAGAACCCGAGCGAGAATCCCGTGAGTGTGCCAGGACAGGGGAGGGGGCTGCAGCGGTGTGGGGCCAGAAGCTGACTTCTCTCAGGGCTCCGGCTGGGCACGTTCTGTCCCCGGCCGGTGGGAGGCCGAGGGATCCAGACCCTCCCTCCCTCCCTCCCTCCAAGCCTTCCTGGATCTTACAGACGTCGGCGGTGGACATCTTCTCAGCTGGCTGCGTCCTGTACTATGTGGTGTCTGGGGGCGAGCATCCCTTTGGAGACGGCTTCCGTCGCCAGGCCAATATCCTCGCTGGGAGCTATGAGCTGGGGCAGCTTCAGCAGGACACTCACGGTGAGGGGCCCACCTGCCCACTGCCCCCAAGCGGCACGCCTGGCGGGCTGACCTCCCACTGCCCTGCAGGCTGAGGGGACTGAGCAGAACCTGTCGTTGCCACAGAGCACCTGGGGGGCAGGAGCATGGGGTGCCTTCGAGAAGGTGGGAATGCTGGCTGACAGCACGGGAATGTCATCGGGAGGGTCAGGAATGTTCCCCCCCCGAACCGCCGCTGATGATACACGTTCCGCCTGCCGCTGCAGAGAGCCTTGCCGCACGGGAGCTGGTGGAAGCCATGATCAGCCAGGACCCCCACGCACGCCCCTCGGCCTCCCAGGTCCTCCTGCACCCCTTTTTCTGGAACCAGGAGAAGCAGCTGCAGTTCCTCCAGGTGAGCGGAAGGCAGGCTTCAGAGGGGCCCAGGGGAGCTTGCAAGGCCGGGCACCTTTTGCCAGTCCTCTGCTCTGGTCTCAGGACGCCAGCGACCGCGTGGAGAAGGAGCCGGCCGACGGGCCCCTTGTGCGAGCGCTGGAGGCAGGGGGCCGCGTGGTGCTGCGAGGCGACTGGAGGGCGCGGGTCTCCATCCCGCTGCAGTCAGGTACCAGCTCGGCCCACCCTCACCCTGGCAAGCGCCCCTCCGAGTCAGCCAGGGCCTCTGCCAGCCCCCGGGAAGCCGGCGGCCTCTCGGGCCACGCTCACAAGTGCTGCTTCCGCAGACCACAGGAAATTCCGGATGTACAAGGGCCACTCGGTGCGGGACCTCCTGAGGGCCGTGAGGAACAAGGTACCCTTGCTGCCCCGGTGGGAAGGGCTCTTCCTGCCCCGGGGAAATATCCTGCAGGCTCGCCAGGAATCCCCCTGGGGGTCTAAACAGCCCACTGCTGGCCCCAGTCTTGGTCATGGAGAGGTTTGGATTATGGAGGGGACCTCCGCTGAGGCTGGGGGTGAGGGGTCTCAACACCACGCTTTTTTCTCATTGCCCCCTGGCTCTGGCGGAGGAAAACTGCAGAGCACTGCGAGTGGCTTGCTGCTGAGGCGGGGGCTGACCCGGCGTGGCCTCCTGGAGGGCGGGGGCAGCCAGGTCGGGGCCTGGCCCCTCGGCAGGAATCTTTGCTGTGACCATCGCGGCAGCCCTGCGGAGATGCCTACTGGGGATGCGTGGACGGGCCCGTGGCCAGCTGAGGACCCGGGCCACTCTGCTGCCGGCACGAGCGCTGGGGCTCCGCGCAGGCGGGGCAGGCGGGCCCCCCCCCCCCCTGCATGCGCAGGGAGCAAACCCTCCGGAGCCCCTGCAGGCTGCCCGCCCGCTCGGCGCACACGCTGCACGCAGGGCTGTCCCACGGCTGGGCTGGGCTGGGCTGCGCCGGGAGGGGCTCAGGCAGGCAGCTCCTGCCGGTCCCCTGCTCCCGCCTGGGTCCCGCTGCATCCCAGACCCCTTGCTCGGCCCCCCAGCGGGCCGCTGGCGAGGAGCGCCACTGTCTGACCCCTCTCCCCCCACAGAGGCATCATTACCATGAACTGCCCGAGAGCGTGAGAGAGACTCTGGGCACCGTCCCAAACGGCTTTGTGCGGTACTTCACGAGCCGCTTCCCACGCCTGCTGCTGCACACGCACCGCGCCATGCGCCCGTGCGCCCGCGAGAGGCCGCTGCAGGCGTACTACTCCTGAGGCCTGGCCGAGGGGTGCCGCGGGGGAGAAGAGCGCGAGGATCCGTCGAGGCCAAGAGCGCGAGGATCCGTGGAGGCCCGGCGCCCCTTCGCCCGCTGGCGACTGCTGCCCTCCCCGTGCTGCCCGGCAGGGGATGCGGCTGCGCTGGGGCCTGGGGGGGGGCTGCCCCCCACTGTCTGAGCGCCAGAGGTGGCGTGTGAGCGGTTCAGCGCAGCCGCTCGAGGCTTTCTGGGGGAGCCATGCCAGGCAATCCTGGGGACCAGTGCACCCCAGAAGGCAATGCATGCCCCTCAGATGGCCCCGCAAGGTCTGGGATCCCTTATGGGGTTTGATGTGTGTGGCCGGAGGGCACAAGCCCTGGTGTTGCCTGCACACAGACACGCACAGCGCTTAGAAAGTTGGCTCGCCAGAAACGAGCTTTTAACCCAAAGCTGTCTAGGCAGCGAATACTGCAGCTGCATTGAACCTTCCTCCATGTCCAAAGACATAACGAACGTCCTGCTGACCAGCGTGGCTCCGTGGCCTGTCCTGCTGTGCAGTTTCTCCACAGCCCTGTGGGTAGGCTAGAGGGGCGCCAGGCGGTACCGAGCTTGCCGTGCCCGGCTGGGGTCTGCCTTTCCTGTGTCTTAGATCCATGTACTCCCTCTCTCTCTCTGCACATGCATCTATGGGAAAACCCAGCTTCGCGCTCATGGTGGGAGAGTGCCTCTTGCTGGCCTGGCCCTCTTTCCTCCAGGGAGGAGGAGTGCTTTGTGCCTGCCAGGGGCCTCAGGACCACACGCTGCGATCGTTGAGCCCTGAGCAAGCGCCTGGCCTGTTGCTGAGCGGCCAGCGACTCTGAAGCCAAGGCCAGTGCCCACAGGTGGAGTCTGAGGAGGGAGCCAGTGGCGTCGCTGGCCAAGGGCCTTTGTAACAAAGTGAGCCAAATAAATATTTTTACAAAGAACGAAAGCAAGGGAGTGCACCTCACAAAAGGGGACGGGGGCATCTTGTTTTCCTCCCCCCCCCCCCCCAGCCACAGGAATCTTGTGCGGCTAACACACAGTCCCTACAGAGCCACCACCACTGCTGGGGGTGGGCGTGGGTCCAGGACAGCCAGCTTCTGGCAGAACGGATCTTCCCATGGAGTGCAACGAGGAGGAAGCGTTGGGGACGCAGGGGACTGCGGTCATCTCCAGGGCTCCCAGGCCAAAAGGCTCGGCGCCCCTCTAGATGGGCCTGGCCAGCCGGCCAGCAGACCAATATGGCACCATGCCCAAGGCGGGTGGCACATGAGGATGACATTAAGGCTGCTTGGGCTGCTGGACATCTGGAACAAACTCTGGCCCTTTGGACAGACAGATGAGCAAAGCTATGCAACCGAGTGATTTTCCAAATGAGCTAGTATGCCGCATGACTGCAATGTTACAACCAGTGCAAATGCAGCCTGTGCCAAGGACGGGAGATGCAGGCTCACCCATGCCCAGTGTCAGTGTGGTGGGCATCAGAGCCCTTCTTCCTGTCAAGGAGGCACGGGAAAGGACCACTGTTCCCACAGAATCAGAGTTGGAAGGAACCTCAGGGGACCTCTGGCCCGGCCCTGGGCAGTGGAGGGCTCCAAACACGGGATGCCCTCCGCTGGCTCCTTCGCTGGAGGGATCTTGGCCACCGCTCCAGGTAGACACTCGCCCTGTTCTGCCGCCCCGTCCACTAGAAAGAACGGATTCACATGACACCACTAAGCCGCTGGGGCTTGGCTTGCGGTGTGAACCTGGCTGGCTTCTTGCGGGATGGCCCTGCGGGAGCTCCAGTCACGAGAAGCCAGTGTCCTTTTGCCGGAGCTTAGATCCCCGCCGGGTGCCGTGCCTCCCCGGCAGCCGCAGGAGACCCCCCAGAGCAGCAGGAAGCCAAGCTACTGCAAGCACGGCTGTGCCACCTGCAGCACCGGGTGGCTGGTGGGCCTGTGCAAGGTCTTGCCTTGCCGGAGATCCTGGGCACCTCTCCGGCAACACGGAGGGAATTACTCAAACGCTGGGTTGAAAACCGAGTGCCTGGCCAAGACCAGACATGGGGACTCCAGGCACAGCCACGAGGATCACCGGGCAGCCCCAGGCCAGTCACCCTCTCCTAGCTTAACCTGCCTCACGGGGTCAGGGCCATTCTGAAATGCCCATGAGGCAAGACACTGTCTGGAGGGCCTTGGCAGAAAGGTGGGACAAACTTTCACTTGAGCGTAAGATGGCAGAGGAATGTCGATGCGGATCACCAGCGAGTTTGGGGCGATGCCCACCTGGGATGCTTTGGCACCACCCGGCAGCCTGGGGGAGCCCCGTGAAGGCACCCAAAGCCTCCCGAGCTGAGGCCTCAGGAGGGATGCTGACAGCCAGCTCACCTGGCGGGTTTCGCCTACCCTGCTTGGGACCGCAGTGGCGCAAGCCCAGTGGCAGGGCCACCTGTGGCCAGGGGGGTCATCAGACCCTGCACTGGATGCCCAGGCTATTCATTTCCTCAATGGCGGAGGCCCTCTCGGAATAATGTAGTGGACTGTGCCGCCATTGCCCCTGAAAGCTCCTCTCCATCCTGCAGGGCTTGGGGGGGGGGGGAGGCAGCTTTCACATTCGAAACTACCTGCTCCAATTGTGCTTGGCCTCCCAACGCCCAGTGAGGCAGCAGCAGCAAGCAGTGGCCCCGGGGGCAAAGTTGGCCCCACTGACAGCCTAAACCAGGGGTCGCAAACTCGTGGCCCGCGGGCCAATTGCCGGGACGGTGGGGCACGGGGGAGGGGCCCTGCGGCCTTCAAAGCACCAGCGGCCTCGGGGAGCAACGCGGGATGAGCGGCCCACCACCACCACGGTGGTGGAATACTTGATGCGGCCCAGCCTCACCCAGACTCTACTGCCACCGGCCCCCAGGTAAGTTGAGTTGGAGACCCCTGGCCTAAATAAAGCCTCAGCACCTGGCCAGGACGCAGGCATCTCCCTGCTAGAAAGGAGTCCCTACCTTCTGGCCCTCTCCTTCATGTGTCAATTATTCTCCAAGGAAGCATCTCTGGTACCAGGCATCTTTCTCGCGGGGCTGCTGCTTAGCATCTGACCCCTGGTGGGAAGCCGTCTGCTTCAGACAATCAACCCCCCGCTGCCTTTCGGCTTTGCCAGCCAGAACTTTCTAAGACAGGCATGGTGGAAACCACAGGCATTCAAAAATCCTTTGATCAAGTTGTGAGCTGGGACCCGGACCTTGCCATCCACCATTAAAACCCTCTGTGGTTTTTGCCCCCATGGAATGCAGCTCTGCCAAAAAGAGGAGGATTCCCCGGTTTGGCTTTGCGGTCTGCAGGCACCGGGAGACTGTCTGTGCCGCAGGCCCTTCCCTTCTGCAGCCAGTGAGGAACAGGCAGCCACAGCGCTCCAGAGGGCTGCGGAAACCCGCTCTGCTCACAGCCTGACAGGCGCGTCCAAGCAGAGCATGAGAGCTCAGTGTCAAGGACTGCTCCACGCTTGCAGTTTCTAGAGAATCCTCTTTATTCACCGATGAGTATGTACAAAAAACTTTAATTCAATGCAGATTAGTATCAATATTAAAAGTTTGTTTGCTTAGAACAAATAGGTGAGGCACAGTAACTGCAGGAGGGAGAACGGCGCTCCCAGGGCAGGGCTCAGCCGACTGCCTTGCCAACTGGACTGGAGCCCTGCGCAGAACCCGAATCTGCAGCCAGGGGCCTGGGTGCCTGAACGTGGCGGAGGGAGGGAGGCCAAACGGGGCTGTTCCCACCAGAAGCAGAGGGTAGTCTCTGCACAAAAAAGAAGCCTTGCATTTACTTGCCGAGGCGCCTCGCGGCCCTTGCAAGACGTTTCCTGGCAGCCAGGTGCTCTGCTGGCTACCGGGACGGCCGGGGGGGGGGGGGGGGATGACGCCTTGTCAGGGCCGGACAGCCGTGCCGCAGGGCCGGACAGCTCTGGACTAGAAGACAGCCCACTGCAGCCGGGCACTAGCTGGAGGACTTTGCACAGGCAGCAGCGGACTTGGAGGTCAGCAGCTTCTCCACCATGGTGCGGGCGTAGCGGAGGCGGCTGGCCAGCTCCTTGCAGCAGCCAAACTCCTCGATCAGGGACAGCCTGTAAGTGCGGAACTCCCGCTTCTCGTTGATGTAGGTGACCGCAGCCATCAGGGGGCAGAGGATAACCTTAGTGTGGTCCTGCAGGCAAAGGGTGGGGGCACGTGAGAGGCCCAGCGTGACCGGGCTGCTCCGATCCCAGCGAGGGCCGAGCGCCAGTTGAACGAGACACACGTTCCAACTCGCTCAAGCAGTAGAGGACTCGGCTGAAATTCAGGGGAGTGCAACCGAACCCCACAGGACCTCCAGTGAGATCATCCTAACTACCCAGCGTCAGCTTTGGCTCTTCGTCTCGCCAGCAGCCTACTCCCAACACAGGCACCTGCTCCTCGAGAGGAAGAGACCCCATCTTGCAAGCTCCCTCCTCCCTTCCATCTCCTCCGAGAAAGCCCGAGAGGCAAAGAGGGTCCCCGTCACATCACCTGGAAGAAGTTGATCTGCACGGTGCCATTGCTCAGGTGCAGGATGATGGCACTGCGAGTGCGGAACCAGGTCCCCAGGTAAGGAAGCCGTGCCAACTCGTCGCCCTCTCGAGGAGTGATATTGGCTCCCGCTTTCAGCAAATGCTCACTCATATAGTTCCGGAAGTATTTCAGCAGCGTGATCTGCAGGAGACGCCCATGCCGTTAGCACAGCAGAGGCGAGCCAGGACAAAGGGACAGTCCTCCAAAAGCAGCTTCCTGCAAGATTACATTCCCTCCCTGGCAAGGGGAGACCGCCAGAGCCTCTGTTCGCAGCCCTTTCACGGGGGGGGGGGGGGCTGCCAGTCAGAGCACACGCGCCCTCGCTCAGCTGCACGGGCCGGCAGCGGCCCTTGCCCTCAGCCAGGGCCACCAGCCCCTCAAGGCCAGCGGGTCCTCGGGGCGCACCGACCTTCTTGTTGAAGGCTTCTGGGTAGGAGCGCACGCTGAAGTAGGACTCGGAGCCGTTCTCCTCGATGTACTGCAGGCTGTCCCCGTCGCTGTACATGATGAGCCGGGTCGAGTCGTTGAAGAGAACCCCCACGCTGTTGTCGCACAGCTGGTAGCCTGTGCGGGGAGGACAAGGAGGTGCCTGACGCAGCCCACGTGGAGGGGTCGGCGGCTGCGCGAGGCAGGGGCCTCCAGGGCGGGCCTCCCCCACGGCGTGCATCTGGCGCTTCGGCCCGCACAGGGGTGCCGGCGCAACGGACTCGCAGGCTGCTAAAACAGGCAACCGAAGCCATTTGCTAATGGCCAAGAAGGATGCCACCGGCCCAGTGCCCAGAAGCCATGCCGCTCCAGTCCTACGCGTACAAGTTCGGCCAATTTGTGCGAACTGGCCAGACGGCTGGAAATTGTCCTTGATCTCCACGATCTTCAGGTGCTGTTTGTCCAGCTTCCATTAGTGACTAAAATGCTTGAACTGCCGCCCATCTTACAGGCAGGAGTCCGCAAACCCTCGACTCCGGCTTGGCCGGCTCCCGAGCGTTGGATGCAGGCAGGCAGGCAGGCAGGCAGGCAGGCAATCTGCCAAGCTTAAATGAGGAGGTGGATTTCACTGCCTGAACGCTTCCCCTGGGGCTGAGGTGGATGCAGGAAGAAGATAAACTCCGTGTTGAGGGTCGTTAGGAAAGGAGTCTAAAATAAAAGTGCCACAATCCTCCTGCCCTTACACAAATCCACCATAATCATGACACTGTGCAGTCTGGGCTCTGCGCCTCAGGAAGGGCCCTGCAGAGTCTTAAGAGGCACCAAGGGGCTGGGAGCAACCCCGACGGGGAAAGGCCAAGCTGCCCGGGACAACTTAGAAAAGGACAGACGAGTAAGCGGAGGGGCGACAGATGTGCAAGATTCGGCAGACTTTGGGGAAAGTCTCCCCGCCTCACAAGAGCGCTGCTCAGCCAGACCTGGGACTGCCCTACCAGCTTCCTGAGCAATGGAACCCATGCACAGGACAGGAGTGACGGCACTCTCCCCCCCATGCTCCCCAGCAACTGGTGTACACCGCTGTACTGCCTCTGATACTAGAAGTCGCACAGGCGCCTCAGGACCGCCGCGGACGAATTGCCCAACCCCCTCCCAAAGCCATCCAAGCCGTGGCCACGGCGTGGAAGCTAGGTCTGTGTGGGGCTGCATGCTGCCTTTGGTCTCCCCTGCCGCTCAGCCGTCCGCTTCAGAGACGGCCCCTTTGGGTTCAAGGACCATGCGGGAGGGAGGAAAGGCTGCCTTTTCCGCACCATGCATGCTTCTGTACTTCGCTGTAAACCCTTCCCTTGCTCACCGGTGCAACTATTGAACTTCTGTTTTTCAAACTGTCAGGGAACCACAAAAACCGCAGAAGTCAGTGCTCTAAAAGGGAACGGTGAAAAGGGGAGGGGGGCTGCTGGCTAGAGTTAGGGGACACCTATTTCCCCCCTTGACTACTGGTTTTCAGTCGACAGCTCGGCAAATGTGCCTAAGTTCAGCTGCCTGCAGACTTGCTGTGCCAATTTTACCTGCGTTACCGAATGGGCTTCACTTCTTGGGACAGCCGAGATGTGCAAGGATTGTCCAGGCATGACCCCTTGCATCTAAATGTGCACTTCAGCACCTCAGAAAAACCCACTTGAAAAAATTACAATTAGGTGGGGCCAAGGCTTCAAAAATTACAGGCTCCCGATTTCTGAGGCTCTGAGCAACAGCAACGGTGCAGCGATTGCAGCAAGGAAGGCGAGGCGAGGCGAGGCAGATGGCCAGGGGGGATGGCGGGAAACCACCTGGAGGGCTGCGGCAGGAAGGGCTTGCAGGAGCAGGAGCAGGCAATTGCCTTCACGCGCCTGTGCTCCCTTGTAGGCTGGGACCAGCACTCAGCGCGTCCAGCACTGCCAACTCACGCGAGCTGCTTGGGCCGGGTGTTCTATATTCACCAAATTTCTTCCTTGTAACCTGAAATATTTATTCCACCTGGACTCACATGAGTTTTTGTGCCCTCGTGGTTATTTGTGTTCTAAGTTATGGTTTCTGAGGAAGAGTCAGGAGGATTTTCCATTATATTCCCTGCTTGCTACTTTCTGAAAAAATCAGTCACAAAAATAAAGCATGTTGAAGTAGCAGCCTCCCCTCTCTGCCTAAGCGCTGGTTAGTTTTTATCAGCAGGAGAGGCAGGAGAGCCAATGGCACAGGAGGAAAAGCTGCGCCCAGAGGTTTTGGCCACTTCCAGATCCAGCAGGCTGCTTTCCAAAGGGTTTCCTGCGCAGACAGAGTCGGCCCGGTCCGTCTCGCCTGGCCCCGGCACCACAGACTGGGAGCGCCGGCTCCAGAGGGGCAACAGCCCATCCGCTCCCCGGCCCTTTCAGCACACCAGACTGCGGACGCTCCGCAAGCCGCCAGCTGGCCCAGTACCCACCTAGGCCATACTTGTCCGAGTAGTCCACCCATTTGCTGACCCAGAAGATGGGGATGCAGGCAGGGTCTTCCGCCTCCTCTGCAAAAGAGAAGCACGTTACCTGGCGCATTGAAGCAGAGCTCTGCAGGCTGCTCGCCCCCCGCCCCCCCGCCAGGAGGAGCCACTCACCTTGCCTGACCGGGGATCTTTCCGAGGGCTTGGAGGAGTTGACGAGCGCCAGCTGCTGCAGCAAGTCCGCCAAGTGGCAGTCCACAGGCTCACGCGGGTCACAGCGGGCCTCCTCCTCCTCCTTCTCCTTCTCCGGCAGCTTCTCCAGCGCAGGGCTCTCTGGGCCTAGGGACGGGAAGAGGTCCTGACAGGACGGCCCTGCACCCCATGGGCAGGGCACCAAGCCAAGAGACACTGTGCTAATCTGCTGACCACCTTCCCTACCACGGGCTGGGCCACCCCCTAGGACAACGCAGGCCATCCGCCGCAGTCACCTTTGTTCACCACTGTGAGTGGCTTCCTCCCACTGGCGTCGAAGCCGCTCGGGGCCACGGAGAACCTGGGCGGGACCGTGAGGCAGGTGGTGGGCAGCCGGGAGGGGATGTAGCCCGTCGTGAAGAACTCATCGCTCAGCAGCTCCTCGATGGTGGGGCGCGCGGCCGGGTCTGAACGCAGCATCTTCTGGATGAGGTTAGCAGCAATGGGGTTGATGTGCTGCAAGGCAGAAATATCAGGGATGAGCAGGCCCCCAGGCAGCCCTCGGCACTCCCTCTCCTTGCTGCCCGCGTCCCCCCAGTTCTGACTGGAGGTACTGCAGCCAGCAGGAGAGGAAGTCTCTGGGTGGGGATGATTCATTCCAGATGATCGGACTGCACAGGCATTTGGGGCCAAAGAGCCAGCTCCCCAGAGATACAGCAGGACACAGAAAAAGGGGGTTTGCTGCTTGAAGTTGCATCAGACCCAACGGGAACCACGTGTGTATTTAAACAAGCAAGGCCTCGTGTATGACAGAATCTCTCCGACAGGAACAAAGATGGGCTCATGCCCAACTGGAGACCCCATAAAGAGAAATTTCAAATAATTTCCTGTTAGTAGAGAAAGTATTATTTAATGCAAGCCAACTAAAGCAACTTCTCAAAATGGGATATGGGAAAATGCCACTTTGTCTCATACACTGCACTTTTCATGTGGTCCTATGACTTCAAGATCACTACCAAGGTGTCTGTTTTTTAAAAAAGGACGTATGAGAATGTGCACTGCACAGGTCCAATGGGATCCAGCAGTAAATTTTACCCTACAGAGTTAATTCTGTTCCAGGCCAGCTTTATCTGGACACAGATCGACTATTGTTGCAATGGAAACTTACAATACTGATTTCATGACTGTGATTTATATTTCCGCTGAACCTCAGCAGAAGTTTGAAATTGTCAAAACAAGTATTCTGGGAGGGTTAATAGTGCCTGGTAGCTTAAAACTGAATGAACCTCTGAAGTGTTTGCTTTAGTTTATATTGAGGTGCAGGGTCATCCTAGAGTTACATTTTAAAAATTAAAGCAAAGACTAAAGCAGAGTGAAAGAAACAAATCCGATGCTTTAAAAAGCGGTTATGCTAAGCAGGCATTATGCATATTTTTCAAACAGTGTTGCGACTTCTTGGAAATGTAAATTATTAGATTAATATCGTACCTTTAAAAAAGAGAACTTAAGGAGCTTGCATCATTTTCCTGCTCTCAGTTTTATTCCCACATCAATAACCCTGTGAAGTAGGTTGAGCTGAGAGTCTAGGACTGGCCCAAAGTCACCCAACTGGCTCCTAGGCCAAGCCCAGACTAGAACCCTGGTTGCCCGAGTCCCACCCCCACTACATCACCCTGGCTCTCAAGCTTTAAGTAATAATGTCAAAATTATTTCCACAGTAATCCCATTTGTGGAGAATGTTTGCTAGAGAACTATGCCTGGCACCTACATTGTTATCTTTCTGGGGCCAGGCAAAGACTTTATACACCAGACATTTTAAGAACTGTTGAATGAATATTTTATATTCTTAGAAAACTTAATTCGTTTTTATCACTGCTGTGCCCGAGGTAATTTTACTGAGTGATGTAGTTGTCTATGAGAAAGCACTGTATTTTTATTGTATGGTTTTTATTCTATGAACTTTATGGTTACTCTTGTTTTGGATTTTTCAACCACCAAGTCCTGAAGGGCTATGGGAGCAGTACAGAAATGAAGTCAGTCAGTCAATACTAATAGTGCTGGCTTTTGTGCTGTGACCCAGGGCTGAGTGCCCAAGATGGGGCAGATCAGGCATTTTCAGTCAGTCCCAGGCATACCCCTCTAGCACCAGTTACAAGCATCGATGGAGCTCTACTTTGTCCCGCCGTGTAATTCCAGGCTACCGCTGCCCTCAGAAGCACCGTACCGTTGGGATAGTGTACTCGTTGTTCTTGATTCGGATGTAGGTTTCCTTTAGACAGGAAGTCTCAAAGGGTGGCTTCCCAACAAGGAGGGTGTACCTGCCCAGAGAAACCACGCAAGAGACTCATCACATATGAACGGAAGGAGGCGGAGGAGGAGGTGTGCATCAGGAACGGTTTCCCCATGCTGCTGCCCAGGAGAGCTGGAGCAGCTCACGAAGCCCCTCTGGGCTGCGCTCTGCTGGGGCACGCGCCACAAGGGCGGTCCTGGGCAATCGGCTCAGCCAGGGGCACGTGCACCCCCACCCCCGCTTGCTGGGATTAGGCACGGGTGGAAGGGAGATGCAGATGCAGCTCCTGGTACAAAGAAGCGCACCTGGTTGTGTCAAGTTTGTGAGAGAAACAAACAGGAATTGTTTCTCAGCCCAGAGTGGGGAAGGGGTGGCCCTCCAGACCTTGTCAGGATGCAACACACCCCAACCCTGCCCAGCGACCGCAATGGGAGGGGCTGATGGGGGTTGAAGTCCAAAAAGCAGCTGAAGAACCAAGGCAACCTCGCCTTGACCTTCATTTCCTAGTGTCAGCAGCGTCGACCGGGAGGACCCTCTTTCAGACTGTGCATGGGAAGCGGCGCCCCACAGAAAGCCCAGGCCCAAAGGCGCCAAACGTACATGATGCAGCCGATGGACCAAACGTCCACCTCGAAGCTGTGGCCCTTCTTGCCCAGCACCTCCGGGGCAATGTAGTTGGGCGTCCCGCACAAGGTCTTCTTCCGCTCGCCGTCATACTCCACCTTCGTGGCCAGGCCAAAGTCACCTGTGCAAAGTGGAGCAGGGAGGCTCAGTCGAGCATCTCTTCCCAGACCCTCTGGGCCCACCTCCCTCACCTGCGTGGAGGGCCGGTCCCGGCTCCTTTGTGGGCCACGGCTCGGGAGCAAGGCCCCCACCCCGGCCACAGGCTCAGCTTTCCAGTCCTGGCTCATTTGGGAAAGCCCCTCTCCCGGGGGCCAAGGGCACTCCTTGAAGAGCGTTGCCGATTCCCGGGACAGCGGAGCCAAGTGGCTATGAATCTGGGAGCCTGGGCCATTAAAGCATTTGAATCCCCAGGGGGGTTTATTTTGTGCAGCATCCCCTTTGGGAACAAATACACTAGGGCACAAATATCCACGTTGGAAACTCAGCCAGAGTCCGTCGCCTTCTTTTAGGAGCCACCGGCTTTAAGGGCTGGACACATTCGGAAGAAAGCGAATCACCCTTGCTGACCAGCTGGCCTCTGATCACCAAGTCCCAGGTCTTTGGTCTGAAGGCTTTGCCTTCTTGCTACCTGCACAGCAGCAGGGGCCACGAAAGCCGCCACGCTTTGTCAGAGGAAGAGACAGGAGCTGCCAGCTCCCTGCGAATCGCTTACCTATCTTCACCTCCATGTCATCGTTCAGGAAGAGGTTGCCTAGCTTGAGGTCCCGGTGGATGACACGGTTGCTGTGCAGGTATTGGCAGCCCAGGATGATCTGCCGCAGGAAGTAGCGTGCCTCGGGCTCCGTCAGCGCTTTCCGCCGCTTGTGCAGCTCCAGGAGCGACTGGGGAACAGCAGCGAGTTGGGCCCTGAGCTCCAGGCGGGAGCCGAGGCCGACCCAGAAGGACGCGGCCTGGCGTGGGGCCTCCTCCTGGGCTGGCTTCGTGAGCAACTGCACCGGGCTCCTCGAACCGTCCCTCTGGCTTGCTGCTGCCTGCGGCCACACCAGTGACGGGCACTGGGGTGCCCTTTGCGCTCCCCACCACCCCGCCTGGGGTTTCCCTTCCCCCGGCAGTTCATTCCTGCCGCACTTCTGCTGCCAGCCTCGGAAATAGGAAGCCGGAAGCCAGGGATGCCGCGCTCCCCATCGGCCAACTTCTTTTGCCTTGCGGGGCGGCGAGGCGAGGCGAGGCCACGCCACGGGGGCAGTGGAGGCGGCACGCGTGGCGGCTCTCGTCCAGCGCGGTTGCGGGGCGCCGCGGCAACTTCCCCGGCAGTGTTCGGGAGAGCCGTTCGCGCGGCCCGGGGCCGAGAGACCCCTTTGCCTGCGGCCCGGACGACCACGCGGACGGCGTGCGGGCTTCCCAGGCCGGGACGGCGCCGGCCGCCAGCGGAGCGCGCAGTTCCGAGGGGGCCTCCCTGCCCAGCCAGCCAGGCCGGCGCTCTGCTGCAAGGCCGGCGGAGCTACCGCGGATCTGGGGCCGGGCCGCGGGGCCGGAGCAGCCGCCTCCCCACGTGTCCGGAGGCGCGGGGCTGGGCACGGGCACCAGCGCGCCCCCCGCGAGCGCCCCTCGCCGCCCGGGCGCCCACACCCACCCCCGGCCCCGCAGACCCGCGGCCGTTTGCCAGCGCGCCCGCCCGCCCCGCAGGACGCCGGCTGCCCTGCCCGCACTCCCGGGAAGCGGGGCGGGGCTGCCGCCGAGGCGCCGCGCGCTCGGCCTACCCGCCGCCGGCAGAGCTCCAGGACGACGAAGACGAAGTTGCTGTCCTCGAAGAAGCCGTGGAAGCCCACGACGTGGCGGTGCTGCAGGCTGCGGTGGATGGCGATCTCCATGGACATCTTCTCCTTCTGCGGCGCCTTCAGCAGCAGCGCCTTGGGCACGATCTTGCCCGCGAAGACCTCCCTGCTCTCCGCGTCGGTGATCTCGTAGCACTTGGCGAAGCCGCCCTTGCCCAGGAAGCGCCCCAGCCAGTAGCGGCGCCGGCTGCGCGGGTCCAGCAGCACCTCC